CCCCCCCCCCCAGGCACAGGTTTTTTGGGGGGGGGCGTGGCACCCTAAAGTAGCCACACAGCAAAGTTAAAAACGCACCAACTCACGCTCTGCAAATAAACCCAAACTAGGAACACGTCCTTCTTTCCAATCCCCAGCCTTCCCGAGGCTCGACTGCCATATCCTTCCCGGGGAAATCTAAGAAACTGGGACTCCTTCTCAACCCCCCCCCCCCCGAGAACCTACATTTCCTCCTCCGTCTCCCCTGCAGCGCCCCCCTCTACCTGCCCTGTTTCAAACGCCCTCCTTCCCTCTCCTCTAAGAGACCTCAGGCGCCTTCCCCCTGCTGGAGCCCCCTGCGCCCCGGGGCTCTTGGTCTCTGCAGGCCCAAGTGACTTACTTGCAGGGGGCGGTGGGGAGAAGGCCCGTTTCTAAGAGAGCAGGACGGCTCCGAGGCCAGGCGAGCCCAGATGATGCTCGGATCGAGGGAAAACGGCCGCCAGGCGGGAGAGCCCGAGGATGGGACGGGAGGAGAGCTGGGTGTGGTACCTAGAAAGGAGGGAGTGAGAAAACTGGAGGAAAGGAGGGAGGAGCGGGGAAGGCTAGAAGGGGGGCGGAGACAGGGGAGGTGAAGGGCCGGGGAAAGGAAAAGGACCTCGTGGGGTGGTGCTGATGGCGTGCTGCTGGGAGCCAAAACATACGCAGACAAAACACCACCACACCCACAACCAACATGGCAGATCGCTCAGATCGAAGACTCACCTTGTCCAGCATTCAGTGGCCAGGGAGATCCTTCTGGGGGGAAAGCTCTGCTGGTGGTTTTCAGAGCTACACTGCCCCTGAACGTGGAGGTTCCATTTATCCAGCATGGTTAACAGAGCGGCTCTTCTCCACCAGTCCTTTCTAATCGCCAAGGGCCACTCCCCCACCCCCGTGGTAGTGAAGCTGATAGGTTAATAACACTGGGTGAAAAAGCACTTTCTTCTGTCCGCCTGGAATCTACTGCCAGTTGGTTTAAATTGATGATATGAGGGGGGTTCCAGCAGTATGAGAGAGGGAAGTGTTATTATATCAGGGTCAGTGTTAATTGGACACTATCTAACCTTTTTATTATTATTCACAGTGTTGTTCAAGCCTTGGCAGCCTTTTTCTACCTTCAAAAGCTCTAAAGCTCTTTCCCCAGCATTCATGTGCTTTCCCCAGCTTTGATCTTTTTTAATTTACCTGCTCTTTATTTCTCGGTGCTCTTTGCGCACCCTGGGTCAGAATGAAATCCTGGCTCGACTCCCATTACAGGAATGACCCCACACAGGGACCAATCTTCTCCAGTACAATTGCCAGCCTGCCCTTTCCAAAGAACAGAGCGTTCATTTCACACATCAAACTCTTCTGCCTTTCAGGGCCAAGCCAGGTCAGATACTGGAAAGTCTGTGATCACGGCAAACTGGAGCGATGGAAACCCCATTTCAAATAGGAGCCATGGGGTGTGTGTGTGTAAATTTTCCACCCGGCATGGTATCACTTACAGAACCTACCACATGCAACCACAACCACACATGTATTATTGGTCCTGCAAACAAAAATAAAACCTAGATGATAAACCAAGGCAGAAGAAAGCAAAAGGTATTTCCCGGTTTTGGGGATGCAGTTCCCACTCCATCCCTCCAACCCATCAAGGCACTGGAGGCTACGAGAGAAGCTACAAGTTTCTCTTTTCTGAAATGCTTGGAAGATAACAGCCCTCCTTCTAGGGTGTGAAAATATTTGGGATGGGATGGGATGGAATGAACAAAACACCTCCCCACCCCCAAGCTGTTCCAGATACAGATAACAGGGGTGCAGAGTAGGTGAGCTTAAGCCGCTTTCTTGGTCAGCCTACCCTACCCCACAGGGTTATTGTGAGGATAACATGGCGGGAGAACCACACGCCTTAGAGGAGCTCCTTAGGAGGAAGAGGAAGCATGTAGTAGTACAATACACTAAATGCAGAGCATGTTTTTAGTCCCTACCCAAGCTGCAATCCCCACTCCCTTTTATTATGCTACCACTCTATTATTCCCATTTCCACAGAGAACCTAAGAAACCTGGTTGCCCACCTCCACCCCCATGCCAATCCAGGGCACCCCACTCTCCCTCCCTCCCCAAGATCTCCTCCCTTTCTCCTAATTGTGTTACCCACACCCCTCTTTTTAGGACATGGCTGACACCTGGTGGCTATAAATGACTCTGCAAAAAGCTTGAGCAAGAGGTGTGCAAGTAAAAACACGAGTGAAGCTGCCTTATACTGAATGAGAGACGCCCAGGATCCAGAAAAAACACTGCGTGTTAATTGAGATCAGCGTCCTATCTGAATTGTGTATATGCTTAAGACTTGTTGTCTACCTTTTATGAAAATGAGAGCTTTGGCACCTCTATAATACCTCCTGAAGAAGATTCATTTTTTGAAATGTTGGTAAATAATCCGGAGACGACGTTGTACCTTGGTTTATAAATTCTATTAAGTTGTGTATCATATTGTAATGCTTCAGAGCACAATACATGTACAGCATTCCTTATAAGTCTTATGACTGTTGATTGCGGGTCAGACTATCACGACTGTTGGCTTTATATTTGTTTATCTTATACTGAATGAGACCATCAGGCTTCGTAAGGTCTACTCAGACTGGCAGTGGCTCTCCAAGGTCTCATAAGAACATAAGAGACGCCAATGTTGGATCAGGCCAAAGGCT